CTTGACGATTCTTAATTTTATTTCTGTTGAATATTTAGAGTGTTGATGGTTGCGCGATCGCGACCATGAAAGAGAGTCGGCGTAAGGTTGGCGCGACCGCGCAGAGAGAGCGCCTAAACCGCGTACCTCTCTGGAATTTGGCAATTTGGAAGGGTGAGGATGGCGTGCCCGCGCGTCCTGGTTGGCGTGCCCGCGCTGCTGATCGCGCATAAACCGCGCCCCTCACTGCCTTTTTGTGAAATTATGCAGATATTGTGAGGAGCGCCCGCTCCACCTGGTGGTACGCCCGCGCCTCATGGTGGAACGCCCGCGCCTCCCTATTTTTGCGGTTTTTTCTGACGGTTGAGTCTTTTATTAAAAGACATCAATTCGTGAAAGAAAAGGTCAGAACATTATTCTTCATCTCCCTAAGCATAATTTTCCACACTTTTCTCTCAAATTTCTTGCAAACTTTTGTGAGGAAACTCTTTCAATTATTCCAATATTGGTGAATTTGTCATCTTGATTTCGATTCTAGTACTAAGAACGAAATTGCTGTCAATTAAATCTCAAAGAGGATTTCCGGTTTAACCCAAGTACCGTGTGGGGGAAATAAACCTCTTTAGGAAAGTGTTTACACGCCTTTGATAGTGTATCAAGGATCTAGTCTTACGGGACATTGGTATTCTCATGTTCATGCTTGGTTGTATCGGCTTGGAGTTAAGGCAAGTTTGTTTAATTTCACACTAGTGTAGTCTTTGTAAATTTCTGTAATTTCTTAGACTTGGATAATACTTGATTGAAATACATTGCATTGGATTTGATATTTACAATAATATTGTAATCATTTATTTTAGGTTTTGTTCCCACACAAATTTAAGTGTTTTTCTTGTTTGAAATCATTGTAAACCTAACAATCTAAAGAGGTTTAATTAGAATTTGTCAAGTATGTCTAGTGTGAAGGAATTAACAACAAATTTTGTCAAAATCAAGAAGTTTGATGGTGTTGAGTTTAGGAGATGGAAATTTTCTTCTTACATCTCTTAATGTTGCCTACGTGATTAGTACTCCAAGGCCGGATGAACATGAGAATGAGACCTTGGAATCCGTTCGGGAGAGATCGAAATGGGACAATGATGATTTCATTTGTCGTGGTCATATCTTGAATGGTATGGAGGATGACTTGTTTGATGTCTATCAAAACATTGAGTCGGCCAAGGAGCTTTGGGAGTCTTTGGAAAGCAAATACATGGCGAAAGATGCATCAAGTAAGAAATTCTTAGTTAGCAATTTTAATAATTTTAAATTTGTTGATGGTCAGTCCATAATGGACCAATTTCATGAATTGCAACGTATTTATGGTAGCTTGGAACAACATGGAATAGCCATGAATGAATTGTTTGTTGTTTCTAGCATTATTGACAAATTACCCCCTAGTTGGAAAAGTGTTAAACATGACTTCCGGTTTGGCCACCCATCTTCAAATTGAAGAAGGGATTCGTGCCATGGAAGGAGCTAAGGATGGAAATCCTAGCACATATACCGTGAATATGGTAGATGAAGGGAGAGCTAGTGCATCTACTAGTGGAAAAAGGAAGAATAATAATTCTTCCAAAGGAAAGTCCAAAAGGCAAGCAAACAATGACAGGTTTTCTTGTTGGGAATGCGGTAAGGTTGGTCACCACAAGAAGGACTGCTTTTCTTTTAAGAAAAGGATGGAGAAAGCCAAGGAGAGTCGTGCTAATGAAAGCAAGGACCCACCCACCAAAGGTAAAAACACAAATTTGTGTAACCCAATCTAACGCTTGAAGAAACATCAAGTCTTAGATTCAATGTGGTTGAATTGCATTTTTGTTGTTTGATAGCAATGTATGATGACCCATATTGCTATGTTACTTGTGATGTGTAAGGTAACGTCTAATTAAAGTTCTCAAAGATTTAGAGTTGAGAAGCTCTAAATGAAGATGTCTTATCACAAGGGCACTATTACGTATATGAGAACCTACCTATATGAGTTCGAAGTTTAGCCGCTTCAAGAAGTCTAGATGGAGATATAGACTTTGATGAACTTATGAAAGATACGGACACATGGCTGTATAAAAGTGTCAAGTGATGATAAATTCGATTTGTCTTGTGTGTACTTCACCTTCAAATGGTTGGATATATTCGTGTGATTCAATCCGTATGGAAATCATGGGATATGATCATCGTTAAGTGTGTTGTACTAGGTGTCAATTCAATCCATAGGGACATTGGCATTGATGCATGAAATGTGGTTTAATTGTAAGAAGTGGAGAATGTTTTAAGTAACACTCTAAATAGGGGAGGATTGTTGGATATTTAAAGTGTTGATGGTTGCGCGCTCGCGAACCATGAGGAGCGCCCGCGCAAGGTAGGCGCGGCCGCGCAGAGAGCGCGCCTAAACCGCTTACCTCTTTGGAAATTGGCAATTTGGAAGGTTGAGGTTGGCGCAGCCGCGCGTCTGGTGGCGCGACCGCGCGTCTGGTGGCGCGGCCGCGCGTCCAGGTGTCGCGCTCGCGCTGATGGTCGCGCCTAAACCGCGCCCCTCACTGCCTTCTTGTGGAATATCGCAGGCTATGGGGAGGAGCGCCCGCTCCACACTAAGAAGCACCCGCTCCTCCAGGTGGAGCGCCCGCTCCTCCCTGTTTTGCGGTTTTCTGACGGTTGAGTCTTTATTAAAGGCTTGATTTCGTGAAAGCTTTTTTATAGAAGAAATTAATTTGTATCTCTTCAAAGGAATTCTCCACAATTTTCTCTCAAACTTCTTGCAAACTTTTGTGAGAAATCTCTTCCAATTAATCCAATTTTGTGAATTAGTCATCTTCAATTCGATTCTTAGTGCAAAAGAACGATTGGCTGTCTTTTGTATCTCAAAGAGTATTTCCGAATTGAACCCAAGCACCGTTGTGGGGGAAATTAAACTTTTTAGGAAAGTGTTCACACGCCTAAGACAGTGTATCAAGGATTGAGACTCAAGTGGTCATTGTATTTCTCATGTTCATGTTCGTTATCAAAGGCTTGGAGTTGAGGCAAGTGTAATATCTTTCACATTAGTGTATTTCTTAGTATTTTCTGTAATACTTTGATAATTCGGTGTTTGGTTGCAATATTTTGATTAATATTGATTGTTGTATAATCAAGTTGAATTATACTTCATTTTAGGTTTTGTTCCCACATTTATAAGTAGTTCTTGTTGTTGAATTTTTGTAAAACCTAACAAAGGTAGCGTCTATTTAAAGTTCTCAAAGATTTAGAGTTGAGATGCTCTAAATGAAGGTGTCTTATCACAAGGGCACTATTACGTATATGAGAACCTACCTATATGAGTTCGAAGTTTAGCCGCTTCAAGAAGTCTAGATGGACATATAGACTTTGATGAACTTATGAAAGATACGGACACATGGCTGTATAAAAGTGTCAAGTGATGATAAATTCGATTTGTCTTTTGTTTACTTCACCTTCGAATGGTTGGATATATTCGTGTGATTCAATCCGTATGGAAATCATGGGATATGATCATCGTTAAGTGTGTTGTACTAGGTGTCAATTCAATCTGTAGGGACATTGGCATTGATGCATGAGATGTGGTTTAATTGTAAGAAGTGGAGAATGTTTTAAGGAACACTCTAAATAGGGGAGGATTGTTGGATATTTAGAGTGTTATGGTTGCGCGCTCGCGAACCATGAGGAGTGCCCGCGCAAGGTAGGCGCGGCCGCGCAAGGTAGGCGCGGCCGCGCAGAGAGCGCGCCTAAACCGCGTACCTCTTTGGAATTTGGCAATTTGGAAGGGTGAGGATGGCGCGCCCGCGCTGCTGGTCGCACATAAACCGCACCCCTCACTTCCTTTTTGTGAAATTACGCAAATATTGTGAGGAGCGCCCGCTCCACCTGGTGGCGTGCCTGCGCCTCATGGTGGAGTGTCCACGCCTCCCTGTTTTTACGGTTTTTTCTAACGGTTGAGTCTTTTATTAAAAGACATCAATTCGTGAAAGAAAAGGTCATAACATTATTCTTCATCTCCCTAAGCATAATTTTCCACACTTTTCTCTCAAATTTCTTGCAAACTTTTGTGAGGAAACTCTTTCAATTATTCCAATATTGGTGAATTTGTCATCTTGATTTCGATTCTAGTAATAAGAACGAAATTGCTGTCAATTGTATCTCAAAGAGGATTTCCGGTTTAACCCAAGTACTGTGTGGGGGAAATAAACCTCTTTAGGAAAGTGTTTACACGCCTTTGACAGTGTATCAAGGATCTAGTCTTACGGGACATTGGTATTCTCATGTTCATGCTTGGTTGTATCGGCTTGGAGTTAAGGCAAGTTTGTCTTTGTAAATTTCTGTAATTTCTTAGACTTGGATAATACTTTATTGAAATACATTGCGTTGTATTTGATATTTACAATAATATTGTAATAATTTATTTTAGGTTTTGTTCCCACACAAATTTAAGTGTTTTTCTTGTTTGAAATCTCTGTAAATCTAACAATTTCAACTTTTTTTTTTGAATGGACTTAATTTGACTGAATGTTATTTCATAATAAACGTTCATCCTCTAATTTTCACCGGTACAAAGAGTGGAAGAGTGGGACCATGGAGGGGTTAAACGAGGGAGAGGGAGACCGAAAATGACTTGGTTGGAAGGAGTTCGAAAGAATATGAAGTATATGGATGTACATGAGGATAAGGCATTGGATCGTAAGGGATGGAGGAGGAGGATCTTTGTTGATGATTACACGGAATAATCAAATTTGGTTCATGTAGCCGACCCCACTTATGGGATTAAGGCTTTGATTGATTGATTGATAATAAAGGTAGATTTACTTTATACTTCTTTCCTTATCTTATAAGCTTTTCACCAATTATTCCATTTACACAATTTTTTTTTCTTGTAAAAACATATCCAATCATCACTTTCTGTATCTTTCATTGTTAAAATATTCTCCAGCTGTATAATTTGAATGGAAATACAAATAATTTAATAAATCTTTGATTAAAGAAATTGAAAAACAAATGGAATTAAGTTACTCACAAATGGTATTCATTAATTTTTATTTGATGATAATTGATGTGAAAGTAACTCACATCAACAAATAAATAATTAGTATACACTACACCCTAGTGTAGGTACCATAACCTACACCCCCTACAAAACGCAGCGTTTGCGTTTTTCCCCTACCCCCACAAACTACAGTAACTACCCCCACTCACTCCCACTAACCACAGTAAATTAGAAATAACTTCCCCTACCCCACATATATATTATTAAAAAAAAAAAAAACTATCCATTTCAAATTATTCTCTCTCTAAAAACCATCTTCTTCATTTCTCTAGAATTTCTCTCTCATCAACACCGTCGAATCGGAACGAAATTCTCTTCAAATTATTGCAAAATTGCTTCAAAACACTTCATAATTGCTTCAAATGTCTGATATTCGAGATGAAATTAAACAATCACAAAAAAAAGAGTAAGTAATTTCGTTAGTTTTGTTCATTTTTTGAGATTGTAGTGCAATTTTATGTGTGAAACCTTAATTTTGTTCATTTTGTTGCGATTGTAGTGCGATTTTGCAAAAAACCACTACAGAGAAGAACATGAAAGAAGAAACTGCAAAATCGGAGCAAAATGTATCTAAAGAGTAAGTAATTTTGTTCATTTTTTTTCGATGACAATTATAGTGCGATTTTATGTGTGAAACCTAATTTTTGTTCAATTTTTTGCAATTGTAGTATGATTTTGGAGAAGAATACTTCAGAGACGAGTAATTTGTTGAAAATTTCTGAAGAAATGTATGAACTCTAACTTTTGTAAAACCTAATTTGTTCATATTCTTGCGATGAAAATTATAGAGCGAATTTATTTGTAAAACCTAATTTTTGTTAAAAATTTTTGCGATTGTAGTAATTGTTCTAAGATTTTACTGAAAATAACTAAAACATTAACAATTTATTAAATAAAACAGAGACGATGATGATGATGTACCTCTTCAGTCAAGAGTAGACAAATTGAAAAAAAACCGCCAAAATGATCCAATTGTAGATCCGGAACTTTTAAAAGATATTGACAAGTCAATTGGTACGGATTTAACAATGTCTCCACTACCAAGGTAATTAGTCATTTACAGAATATATTATGTTCATGTCTAATATGCTAGTTGTATTTGATAAAATTGGTTTTATCTTTGTTTAATATGTTATTTGTATATGATCATATTTGATACTCATAATGTTCATTTATAGATATAGTTATGATCATATATTTATATTTGTTCATATGAGTATTTATTGAGATTTAAAAACAAAAGTACATTTCATTGAAACATCATTGTATATGATCATATTTGATACTCATAATGTTCATTTATAGATATAATTATGATCATATATGTATATTTGTTCATTTGAGTATTCATTGAGATTTAAATAACAAATATACATTTCATTAAATCATCATGCACATATATAAATATGATAATAATCATTTCAGTGATATGCATTCAAACTAATGTCATGTAATTAATTTATAATGTAGTGATGTGCCATTTAGAGTGATACACTTGCTTCAATTTAGAGATGGGAAATCTGAACCATTAACTCTAAAGAAGGTTATAGAACAAAATGAATATGGTAATAGTTATGAAAGATACACTTTAAACAAGTAAGTTTATATGTATAAAATAATTGTTTTTACATTCAATTATTGTACATTGTATATATATACCAAACTTATTAGGTAATTCTTAAAATTTTAGTGAAAAAAAAAAGGTTCGAGTGAAATTTGTTATGTCAAAATCAAGACCACCAGAGACAAATCAAACAATAAGGTATAAAAGCTTTATACAAAATAACTAATTATCTTCTTCATTGTATAAATTAGTTCATACTTTAATATCATATTATATAAAATAATTCTGTTTTTTTTAAGTGAACAAAGTGAGAACATTCCTGCTACTAATGCAACAACTAAGAGTGTGTCTGCTACACATAACACAACTGACAAAGAGAGTAGGGATGAAAGGTATACTAATGATCAATTTTATATAAATAAATGTTCATTTTTATAACAGTATATTTTATGTACAATTTATGTGCATTTTTTATTTAAAGTATTTCTTAATATTGATTTCAGCAAGCAAGAAGAAGTTCAACCAAAAGTGCAAAGCAATCCAGTAAAGAATAGTCTTGGCCAAAAGTAAGAAAACTTAAATGTTCAATTTAGATAGACTATATGTTCATTTGAAAATCAGTACAAAAAAGTTTGCTCATGACCAATAGTAATATAAGTTATATGTTCATTTTTTTATTTACTAATCAAAATTGTAAATTCAAACATATTTTTAATGAAATATCAGAAAACCCAAAGATGATTCAAGAATAACAACATTAAAGGACAAGATGCAAGAAATACATTTAAACATAGAGAGAAACCCAAAGTATGTTTAAATTTAAATAATTGAATTAATTTAATCAATTAATGAATATATTTCAAAGTTAATATCATACATTTACAGAAAGTACAAAGAATCGACAATCAGAATTATGAGAAATCTCAAAAGAATGGAAAAGGCAAGCAAGGAAATCAGGAAAGGTAAATGATCATATTTATTGAATATTTTTGTTTAATAGTCATAAATATCAATTTTAACAATACTATTACTTTTGAAGGTGAAGCAAAAAAGAAAGAAAAAGGGCCAATAGAAGAGAAAACTGTGGAAAAAGGTAAAAATTTTAAAATGTACATTTTTATTACAAAAAATGTTCATATTGGAAAAGCATAATATTAAATATTCAATAAGGTTAAAAAAATTAAATTTTAACTAAATAAATTTTAATAGAAGGACAAGAAGGAAAAAAAGGGACTGAAAAAGAGAAAAGCCCTAAAGACAAAACTGTGGAAGATGTCTTTCCAAAGACAACAAATGTAGAAGGTAAAAATTTATAAATGTACATTTTTATTACATAAAATGTTCATATTGGATCTACATAATATTGAATGTTCAATAAGATTAAAAAAAATATATAAATATTAACTAATTAAATTTTCATAGAAGGACAAGAGGGAAAAAAAGAGCCTGAAAAGGAGAAAATCCCTAAAGAGAAAACAGTGGAAGATGAGTCTACAAAGACAACAGATCCGAAAGGTAAATAGTGGAAAATGTACATATTCATTACCTGAAATGTTCATTTATATTGTATATAGTAAACATTTGTCATCCAATTTAATAAATGTTTATTTAATCTTTTATATTTGATCATTTCATATGCAGCACAAATTGCACCTGATTTTGTTCAAATTGAGGATGAAACTTATCTTCTAGATCAAGATGATGATAAAGTTTCCACAAAACTTAGTGAGGAGACAGCTCCATCATCACAAAAAAGTGATCAGTCAACCAAAATGAAAACAAGATACAAAATGGTTGCAAGGAAAAACAAAAACAAAAGCCTTGTTGTTGTGCCAAGTGGTAGAATTACAAGGAGCCAAGGTAATCATAATACTTTTCTGTTACACAATAAATATTACACTTTCAAATATACTAACATAAATTTTTTTTAAAAACAATAGATGTTCTGTTAGATGAATCTGAAAAGGGAAGCCTGAAGAAGGATGTTGAACCTGCTAAAGAAACCGCAAAAATAGGACAGAAGAGAAGAATGTCTACAAGGAATTTTCCTATTCAAAAGGAAGCTGATGCACCACCTCCAGCACCTACTCCAATAAAAAAAATGGCAGGTGCTCCTGCTGAATATCCTCCAGACCAAGGCAAAAAGGGTAAATGTTCAATCTTAATGTATAGAATGATCATTTATGATGGTATATCATTAATGTTCAATTTCAATATATAGGTGGGAAAAAGAAAACTCTAGAAGAAGTGAAGAAAACTTCTAAGGTTGCTGGCAAAAGAAAAGCAGGTATATAATGATATATTATAAATGTTCAATTTCTATATATAGAATGATCATTTGAGAAAACAATTTTGTTCATTTTATCATTTGCTTACTGTACATTTTCAATACTTAAACAAAATTATATATATTTAATTTTCAGATGTCAGTCCTGCCAAGAGAAATGCTGGAAAGAGAAAAAAAATACAAGAAGTACCATCAGATGAACCCTCTCAAGATCCTACTGATGAAAGTTCTACTGACAGTGATGATGATAGTGAAGAGTCAGTTTATAGAGCAGAAGAAGAGCCTGTCAGTGAGGATGATTATGAGGTGGAGGAAGAGGAGGAAGAGGATGAAGTAAAGCCAAGGAAGAAACAGGCAAAGAAAGGGAATTCAGTGAAGGCAAAGGTTGAAAAGGAGGAGCAAAAGATGGTACTGTATGATGAAGGAAAGATTGAAGGTAGGAGAAAAAAGAAAATGAAAACTGAAATGGTTCAAGCAATAGAAACTGATGAAGTTGAGGAAATTCAGGAAGATGAATTTGAGGAAGAGAAATCTTCAAAGAGAGGAGGACATGTGAAGTTCATTGCATGGATAAAAAAGATGACACCTACCCAAAAACAACAAGTTGTTGATATAGGGTTAGGATCACTTCTTGACATTAGTTTACCTCAACTTGATCAAAAGTTCTGTAACTGGTTATTGGGAAGTTTTGAAGAAAATAGCCAGTGTTTTGAACTACCAAAGAATGAAAAAATAGAAATTGAGGTAGAGGATGTTAGGGTAGTTTATGGCTTGCCTACAGGAGAAATTCCAATTGTTGAGCCAAAGTCTGATAAAATTAGTGAGGAGTATGCAGAATTTCTGAAGAAATGGAGAAAATCATGGTCAGGAAAAACTCCATCAGTGAGTCAGGTATGATCAGTTTTAAATGTTCATTTTAAATACATTAAATGATCAAAAGTATAAATGTTTTGTTCATTTTGTTTGCAGATTGTGAATGGATACATAAATGATAAATTCACCAACAACATACCACCAAGTGAACATTTCATTACTAACTTTTTAGCAGTGGCTGTGAACTGCTTGATGAAATGTGTATCAAACAATCAATGCCATTTCAAATTTCTTTATTCTATGATGGACAAAGAAAACATAAAAAATTTGAACTGGTGTCAGTTTGTATATGACTCACTTATCAAATGTCATGTTGATTGGAGAAAGCAGCAAGGCAAGGGGTTCTACAAAGGCCCTCTTCAATTTCTGATGGTATATTCTTAGATACAAAATGTTCATTTAAATTTAAATAAATGCACTTTTTTTTATTGTTTATGTTCTGTTCCATGTTTTCTTTTTTCTTGTAGTTGTTCTATTTTGATAGAGTTCAGAGGTTAGACAAAAGGCCTCCAAGAAAAATTCCTATCATATCTGCATGGAATAGAGACATGGTTCTTGAGAGGTTGAAGATTGAATTAGAATTGGGATTTGGGAGAGGGAAAATTCTACCAAGGATTGCTGCAGAAGTTGAAGAAAGTCCTAAGGTTATAAAATGATCACTTTTGTTAACATAAATGTTCATTTGTATAATCTGAAATGTTCAACTGCATAATTTTTAATATTCATTCATATAGGTTTTTATGGATGATTTTGTTTCCCTGGTAAAAACAACTTGTTCAAACCTGTCAAAGCTTTCTTCAAAATTGGTGAAGGCAAAGGATATCTTCCCTGGAAATGACTTGGTGAAAAAAGTTGATGAAGTTTTAGGAAAGGTGGTAGCTAGGGAACCATCAATTCTAAGCCAAGATGAAGAATTCTTTGGCAGTGAGGATTTCCTAAATGCACTTGCACAAGCTGAGAAGAATCTGATGCAAGGGTCTGAAAAGCAAACAACTGAGAAGCAAATGACTGGGAAGAAATTAACCAAAAAGGGAAAGGAAAAAGAACAAGAATATGACATCAGAAAAGCTTTCAGCTTGGGGTTGACTCCACCTTCTCCAGCCATTGGTAAATTCTAACTAAAAGAGACTATATATCCTAATTTTTATATGAAAAATTCTAAATTTGTGGTCTAAATTGTCCTAAACAGAAACAGGGCCCACCTTTTCAACACTTGGTGATATAATTGAACAACCAATAATTTCAACAAATGGTAATATGTTCATATATTTAATAATAATGTACATAAACTTAAGTAGAAATGTTCATTTCTAATTATTATGTGTAAATACTATTAACTTAGTGTATCTCCAAAATGATGATTTATAATACAGCTGAAGAAAAGGATGTGGGTAAAACTTCAGCAGCTTCAGAACAAAGAATTGAAGAATTTTCTAGAACTGGTATAATGTTCAATTAAAAAGTGTAAAATGTTCATTTACAAACAAGAAATATTCATTATTAATTGTATTTTTTTGTTAGACGCAGCAACTGGTTCAAAATTTGATGCTGACACTAGGTCAGATAATGAAGGATTGCCTAGAACAGGTATAATGTTCAATTATAAATACTCAAATGTTCATTTACAAAGAAATTATATTATATCTAATTAAATTTTTTCTTAGATGCAGGATCTGGTTCAGTGGTTGATGCTGACCCTAGGTCAGATGGTGGTGAAAAAAGTGATGATCCAAAAAACACAGTTGAAGGTGGAAAACAAAACAAGGAAGATGTTTTTGAAAAAACAAAAAATGATGAAAAAGTGGAGGGGTAAAATCCTGAAGACATGTCTTACTATTAGGGTTATGTAATGGTGTAGGATAAAATATCTAGATGGAACAATTTAACTTATGTTACTATCGTGTTGTAACTTGAAACTGGTGTTTCTCAAACTATTGTATGTGTGAACATTATTTTGTTGAATATGTAATATGAATGTGTGGTTTATGTTAAATCAATAGGTTTATGTTAAATCAATATCTTTCATTTTATGAATTGAAAATGATTCAGGGTGTTACATAAGAAGCTTTTATTTTATTAATATGTACTGACATTGTTTCACTTTTCAGTGAAAACAAGAAGATTGTTGCTTCATCCTCAAAAGTCACAAAAAGGTACATTATTTATATTAAGTAAATGTTCAAAAATAATAATGAACATTTTCATATACCTAAATGTACATTTGTGTTATGTAATATGACCAGGAATGATGATAAGAAAAAGTCAATTGCAGAAAAGAAGAAAAAAACTGAAAAGGAAAAGGTTGAAAGGTATAATTTCAAATTTATTTATATACACTCAAATGTTCATTTATGTTCCTCATAATTTTCTTAATTTAACAATATTTTATATTGAACAACAAGACCAAAACGCGAAAAGAAAACAATTCCTCCTGCTTTCCGATCTCCTTACTTGGTCAAGTACAAGGATCTGTTTAAAGATGAGAAAGCCATGAACCAAATTGCAGTAGACTTTGCTCTTGGTGGAAAAGATGAAAGGTAATTACTTACACTAATTAAACTTAAGGTTTAATATCTTTTATAAAAATATGTTCACATTCATATTATTAAATGTTCATAATGCAGTGCACTCTTATACTATGATGGCTTGAATCTCATCAATAGAAATGAAATGAAAACTCTTGGAGATGATGTTGAAGTGACAAATTGTGTCATAGATGGATGGGCAAGGTTTCTTAATCATAAAAAGCCGAGAAACAAGATTTATTTCTCAACAGTGCTTCATGTTAGTCTTTCTTCTTTTTTTATATTATTGATTCTATTTTCCTATGATAAATAATTGCTAAAAATTCATTTAACTTCTATATGTTTGTTTGTATTTCAACAGCACATTATGTGCACAAATAGAGTTTGTCAAGAAGGATCATCAATGAAGACAAGAATTAATGCCTTCATAGAAAGAATTGACAATGAACTGAAGTTGAATAAAATTGACAGCATTGTTGGATATAAACAGGTATTAATTCTTGTTTAATACAAATGTTCAATTACATTCAATATATTGTCCAATAACATTATATAATTTGTTCAGGTCTTCTTCCCAGTATCAACTTCTCAACATTTTTTTCTGTTGTGCGTCAATCATATAGAAGACAAAATTCATATAATTGACAATAGAAAACTACCAAAAAAGGTATCAGTCAAAGCAAAATATGAAGAACAACCAAAAATGATGGTGAGATAATATGTTCATTTATAGTTGACTACATGATCAATTATTTTTATTTATTGTTCATGTCTTCATCACAATACAAACTTCTAAACAATTTTTACTCTTTTTTCTATCAGTTAAAAGGATTGGCAGAGTACATGAAACACCTTGGATATCAAGATGCAAAAAGAATTGAAGACTACACAGTTGTTTTGGAAAAGATGAAATGGCGTAGCAACAATGACTATACAAACTGTGGAGTTTACATTATGAAGCATATGGAAACCTTCACTGCTGATCCTAATGAGAGTTGGATTTGTGATTTAAAACCAAACAATGTAAGAGTTATAAATGATCAATTATTTAAGATATAATATTCATTTATGAAACAGTAAAGATTGTTTAATTAAAATTTGACAATTCATTTTGTTCAACAGGTGGAACAAATTAGAAATCTAAGGCTCCAATACACAGCAGAACTGATGTTATTTGAAGAAAACACTGAATCAAGAGCAAATAGAAGGAAAGCTAGAAAATTTGCAACTTTGTAGTTTCAAATGTTCATTTACAACTATGTATATGTTCATTTCTTATATATGACTATTTTTTTTTTTTAGAAGTAGACTTATGGATTTTATTTTAATATTATTGTAATTGATATTTCATTTTAATCTTTGAATGAAAGTTTTTTATATAATAGATCGAAAATTCAAAATTACAAAATAGTAATTAAATCAACATTACAAAAAAGTCTAATGTTTATAAAGTTCTGGAATACTAATTATTTATCTTTATTAGCCAAACGTTTAGCTACACTTGTATCAAAAAAGGCTAACAACCTATCATATTTAGAAGAAATCTTTTTAGAACCTAATTGAACATTTCTTGATTGAAGAATTGGAACACGAGCACCTTGATCATTTCTTTGAACTGTGGGAGGAGTAACTTGAACATTCTGAACAGGAAATCCTTGATCATTTATTTGAACCGTAGGAGAAATAACTTGAACATTTGTTGATTGAACATTCCTGGAGTTGGATATGATCATTTCTGGATTGGTGTTTGAACAATTCTGAGTTTGATTTTGAACATTCCTGGGAACAGTAGGTTGAATAACAACAGGAGATTTTGTTGACGCACTAGTATGAATTGGAACTCTTGGATTAATTTGAGAGTAAGTTTTAACACCAGAAGCACCTTTATTTGCAACAAAATTAGAACAAGGTTGAACAGCAGAAACACCTTCAAGATTTAAATCCTTTGCCTTTAAAAAAAATTAAATTGATCATTAATAAACCAGTATATGATCAGTTACAAACACTTATACAAACAAATATGGAAAAAAAAAAAACCTTAGCAATAGATGAAATATCAACATCAATAGATATGATAGATGAAAGAGAGCTTTCACCAGTAGCCTACAAAAAAACCAAAAAAAAATATAAAAAATAAAAAATTAAATAAAAAAAATTATAATATAGATCATAAATGTTCATATACCTGATCAAAATCATTGGAAATACTATGATTTGATTCCTTAGAACTAGAAGGAATTTCTTCTACAACAGCTGATTTTAAGCCGACCTATATTTTTAAATTATAAAAATCAATATTAATAAAATATAAATAAAATGTTTTTTTTGGCACATTTGAATTTACCTGAGCCCGTTTATTGCTCAAAACAATCAATTCAATGGGATCACTAATAGAATTAGCATAAGTAACAGCACAACCGTTCTCATCAAGTTCCTATTTAAAAAGAAAAAACATAAATGATCATTTACGAAAACTGAAATGATCAATTTGAAAATATGAAATGATCATATACCTGTACAACTGCTTGCCCTATACCCCTTTTGTAAGGAGTGTACAGAGACTTTTTCCTCTTGAAATTACCCTTTGCCTTGTTACACTGCTTCTCCAAGGTACTCTTAGGCCTTACATTCCTCTCACCTTTAGGCCTAGCTTTTGGAGGATTCTTGATCTCAAGATCAACAATTTCAACCTCTTTAACAGGTTCACTAAAGTCAATTACACCTGATACACTCTCAACCTTTTCTTTTAACAGATTGAAATAACACTCAACCTCTGCCCTTGCATTCAAAGAATTCTGACAACTTGTTATCAACTTAACAAACTTTCTGATTGTTTGTGACCTCCAAACACTAGTAGCCACAACATTTGTCCTCAAAATAGGTTCTTCAATACCATGACTACACATGGCAGCCTTTGTCCATCGTTTCATTATATACTCTTGTGGAATATTACGCACACAATGCAAATGATATACTCGAAGAGAATGAGAACAAAGTAAACCAGTCTCACTAAAGTACATGCATGTGCAACAAATTGCATGTGTTTCCTTATTAAAAACAACTTCATGCTTAATTATATCCTTCCCAGGCCTCCAAAGAAGATATGAATATTCTGGAAAACGCAAACCATTATCAACATGATCATAAGCTGTCCCCCTAATGAACTCCTCTTCAAAAAGAACATAAGCTTGAATAGTGTACAATGATCTTGCATGAACTAATATACCAATATTAGCAAAAGCTAGGTGCCTATTACCCCTCAGAGTATTGTAATCTCTTGCACCTTCCTTACTTCTCCACTCAGAAATGACATCAAGAAAAACATGATAAAAATCACATAAACCTTGAGTCTTATTAAGACGTTGTGAAACTGACTTATTAGTAGTTTCACTACGTTGAGAAGACAATATACCACCAGACCAATACTTCTTAGAATAAGCAGGACACCACATTTCCTTTATTTTATACAAATCACATAACCAATCATCATTTTCACATTTGTATTTATCACACATCCTGTATAACAGAAATGATCATATATTAATTTAAAAATGAACAAAATATAAATTAAAATATGTACATTTGTGTAAAGAATAATGATCATAAACAATATGGACACTAATAATATTATGATAACATACATAACAAAGTAAATTGTATGATCATATGTAAAACACTACATGTTCATATATATATCACATAATAATCAAATATATCACATAATAAAAATAAAAAATAAATACAAAAAACAATAATTTACCTTTTCCAGAAATATTCAAATTCAGCAGGAGTTTCACAATACTTCAAAAGATATCCAAACAAATCTGTAAAGCCTTCCAAAGCTCTCAATGCTCCAATGTGTTTCTTAGAATTTTGTTCAAGATGCCATACACATAAACGATGATGAACAGTTGAAGGAAAAATGTTTCTTATACCCGCTGCAATCGCTTGTGCTTGATCAGTCATAATTGTAATGGGACTTTTCCTCCCCATTGAGTGCAAAAATGTATCAAACAACCAATCAAAAGACTCGGTGCGCTCATTAAGAATAAAACCCATACCAAACATGACATTGTTACCATGATGGTTCATCCCAACAAATGGAGCACATATCATTCCATATTTATTAGTTCTATAAGTTGTATCAAAAACCAATAAATCTCCAAAGTAATGATAATCTCTCATCATCCTACCATCACGCCAAAAAAAAACTAACTAAAGCACCACTATCATCTTGTTCAAAATCATAATAAAAATCTGTCTCATCCACATGTCTCTTGGCAAAATATTTAATCAATTGGTTACCATCACATCCTTCAATTTGGGCAGCTTTTTCAGATGACAATGCATTATAAGCATCAGAAGCAGTAAAACAAAGATTAGGAGATCCCCCAACCTCCTTCTTTAGAACCCTCAAAGAATCAGTAACTTTGACTCCACTCAATTTCATTGTTGAAATGAAAAGAAGCTGCTCTTTATTCACATCTCTTTGAGACCTTATCAAATGCCTTTTTTCAGGAGGAATCATAGCATGATTATGAACCATTTCATGTCTTGTACATGTATAGACCCCTAAATGATCAATATGAAACTGCACAAAAGCTAAACAACCAGTTCGATGATCCAACTTCTCATAAATCCTTTTATTCTTACACTTATTATCTTTGAATCCCTCATTACAACAAACAAATCTTTTCATCAAAAAAGAATCATCTCTTCTTCTCTTACTCTTCCCAATTCGAATTCCAAAACCTTTCCTAAAAGCATATTCATTATACGCTTCGAAAGCTTCATCTTCAGATTTAAATTCTTTATCCTTTAATTCAGACTGTTCTGCTTCTAAATACATAATATCATCATTTTTTTCCACTGCACAATATACAATTATAAATGATCATAAAGAGTTTCATGAATGAACAATAACAAATAAGTAAAATGTTCAATATCAAAACAGCACATGATCAATTGCAAAAAGAATTTCAGCACATAATATTTTGAACAATATTTTCATTATTTACCACTACACATAATATCGATATAAAAATGTAAAAATAAATGATCAAAAATGACTTTAAGACTGAACATAAACACATTAGTAACAATGAATAAGAAAACATAAACGATTAATTGAAAGTATAATCTACAAAATATACGACAAAAACACACAATTCTAAAACACAGAGAAAACAACAAATGAAACAACAAATGAAGCAACAAAATGTTCATACAAAGTACAACAATCCAAAAACGTTCATCATAATGTAATCAAAGTAGTAAATTCAAAAATCGAAAGTGAATAATAATACATCAATTAAGTTCAAATTAACAGAGCATTATAACAGAACAAATTAGGGATAATTAAAAATTGAAAAATTATGATCACAATTACTCACATTGTTGCACAAACGAATCAACGAAACGAAGTCCAGAAGGAAACACACGCTCGCAATCGCGATCAAAATCAACGCAATCTCCAGATGCAGAATTCGCCATTGATGATCGGTAACAATTAACGAATTCGTTCAAAAAATCAAATGAAGAAGATGAATTAGCGAGAGAAAAATGTAGATCTAAAATGGAGGTTGGTTGATCAATTGAAGAGAGAGAAAAAATAGGGTTTAAAATCATATATATACATAAATTGAATAATAAGAATCAAAGGAAAAAGGAAAAAAGAGGAAGAAAAGAAAAAAAGAAAAAAAGGAAAAAAAAAAAAAAAAAAAAGGAAAGAATCGCAAATACCAGCTACAAAACGACGTAGCATAGGGGGGGTGTAGGGAACACACCCTACACTAGGGTGTAGGGTAAAATTTTCACAAATAAATGAATACCACGTCAAAAAAAATGTATAAATAGCAAAGCCCGGCCCAAAAATTCTGCGGCCCAACTATAAATCAATAAAGTGATAATATTGATTTTCGCATTTTCTTATTTACGACGAAACCTTCTGAAAGCGAGGAGAAAGAAAAACAAGAAATAACAATGGCGGAAGTTCTTAGTTGCCAAACCCTTGACCAATTTAAGCAGAATCTTGAGGATGGAAACTCTAAGAAATTGGTAATTTTTCTTTATTATTATTTTTATTTTGCTGCCAAATTATTATTTTTTTTCTTTGAACTTTGTATTATTAAATGGTAGATTTTGAGAAATTAGGGGATTTGACTCATTATTGAAGGTTATGCTCCATGTATTAGGTCATCTTTTTGTTTGATTTTCGATGAAGTTGATGTTGATATTGCATGTATTTGTGTATTTTGGATTAATTTTTACTGAGTCCTAGTTCATAAAATGTGAGGAAAGTGATTGGAATGGCGAAATGTTAATACGCCTATAGTACTTTGATATTTTTTTGAATTGATCGTACTTTGACTTTTTTTGTGAGACAATCACCGTCGAGTAGGAACATCATTTAGAAACTGAAAGAGAGGGGAAAATAAAGTTGAGGAATTTGGGAAGAGTGTGACAGTTAGTTAGTGCTATTAGACTCTGATTAATCTGGATTGGAGCCGAGACAATCCGCAACTAGGGGCAATTGCTCCCAGTTGGTTAGGATGGAATAGATGATTATATGGTTTAATATATGAAGTTGTCCACAGTTGGATTGGATTTCGATTAATGTGTTTGTGTTTGTGTTTGTTTGAGGTTGTGAGTTGTCGAAGGCATTGTTATTGTCTTCGTGTTGGGGAGTTAGGATCAAAAAACGATGATAAAATGAATTTTATGGCAGACTGTGATTGATTTCACTGCAACATGGTGTGCACCGTGTCGTTTCATGGCACCAATTCTGTCTGAATTTGCCAACAAGTATGAAGATGTGTTGTTTCTCAAGGTTGATGTTGATGAGCTGAAGGTAAATAGCTGAAATTCTGAAAGCACAGCTTTTCCACATTGCTACTCCTTTGTTTACTCTAATTGCAGCTTCATTTACTTGGTGTTGCCGTGTTGCAAATCAATTGCTTTCAGACTGTTGCTGAGGATTTCAAAGTAGACTCCATGCCGACTTTTGTTTTCCTGAAACAAGGAAAAGTAGTTGACAGATTCGTAGGTGCGAATAAAGAGTCCCTTCTGAAACTCGTTACTGAGCATTCTGGTCGAAGTTTGCCTGAAGTTGATCCTACACCATCCACTTAATGAAGTTATCATTGAACTATTTGCTTTGTGATGTTAAATTCTGCTTAATGGTATAATATATCTTTATGATTGTATGATTCAGCTTTGGGTTTATGGTTTTTAAGATAACAGATAATTCTCGTGGAGTCGGGGTGGGTATGTTTACCTAGATGAGTTGATTGTGTGATCTAAATTTATAATGTGACAATTAAATCCGAATAGAAGTAGTATTCTTTACTCTGTAGTCTGTACAGTGTATTTGGGGTCTTTCTATCTGTTGTTCAAACGGTAGTATTTTTACCAATTTACTAACTGAATGAGCAGTTTGATGTTAAAGATTCTTATTTGTATGGATTTACTGGTTTATACCTTGCACTATGACAAAAATCTCAATGGTCTTTCAAATTCAATTTCAAATTTGGGTTCTTTTCTGTAATGGTCAAAAAGAGGCTTTATGAATAAAACACAGTAATGGACGACCATTGCTCTTTAAGCATTGTATTCCTTAGGCCCTCCGGTTTAACGGGTGTACCGTGTACACATATCGTGACATGACTTGCATCATTAAAGAATTGGATTGATATGGTATACGTAGTATTTATCATTATGGTTTAAATATACAAATAATAGAAAGTGTTCTATTATAGAATTGGATTGATATGGTATACGTAGTATTTATCATTATGGTTTAAATTTTTTTATTTATTGCGCAATACAAATAATAGAAAGTGTTCTATTATTTTCCGAATTCAAATTAAAAACATGTCTTAACTTAAATTGGGCGAAGTGATATATTTTGTCAATCCAAACTCAAGTCATATTCCTTGCACTGTATGCTCAATAGTCAAGATGACTGACTTCTGCATGCCTGCATTTTTCGCCTTCTAAAGTGCTGTTGAGATATCTGTATGTATTTGCCCATCACTCTCATGGCAACTAAACTAACATAAAAGTATAAAACTATACCAAAAATGAATTAATTCATTTAATAAGGAATACTTGTTCAAACACATTGAATATGGAGCACAAACGAAGATATGAAGAAAAAATCGAAAAGCAACCACAATTCTAAGTTACCTACTCCTGGAGCACACATAAATAATACTCAGACTATAATTATTGACTCCTTCGCTTTGATCTCATTCCCTAATAAAAGGTGAGGGAATGGCTACTATACACAGACACCTTGCTGTATAATATGCTCAATTGTGTATCCGTTTCCACAAGGATAAGATGCCATTGATGGTCTTTGACCTTTATTTATCTTCGTCTTCCTTTTCCTCCTCCCTTATCAATTTCTATATGAACACACGTAATCGTAGAGCTCTATAGCCTTTACAAACTGAAGTTTTGACTGGTTTGGTTTTGGTGGTTGTGCTTAGGAACAAATAGCTTCGACTGTTAGTCGTTTCAATACATTACGACAAGGATCTCCCCCGAAATTTGAGTTGGTTATAGGAACAGAGCATCTTCTTTGGCCAACACAAAGCTGCACATAGGAAAAAAAATGGTAAAACAAGATTTTATTTGAAGAAAAGGTGAAGCGAACTTAAGGTAGAGCAAGAAGATGTACCTTCTCTACTATATCAAGGGAGTTCTCAGAGTGGCATGTTCCCATGAGGAAACTTCCACAAGTTCCTAATGGGGTTCCAAAACTTGCAAATTGGATGGACGATATTGACTGCCCTGGTCCACACTGCAAGTGAACCTTGGCACGGTGCATTATCTGCTGATCGCCATTGGAATCTACCCGCCAGTTCTGAACCATTGGATGGTGTTCAAATGCATCCGCACAAACACGTGACACTGATCTCTTCACCAGAGAGATCTTTGATGCATCCCCACCTAGTTCTTCGAAGACAACCATCAGATTTTGTGTTGGCTTTAACCAAGCCCTTGGAACATGGTACCTAAAATTCAACAAATAACACGTCTAAATTGATATGGCCTAACATTCAAATTTCAGTAAATGCTGATTAAATCAGTTATTACCATCTTTGGGTTGGGTTATTGCAGCCAGATTGGCAATTTCCTTGACGGTATGTTCCAGCGTAACTGCAAGGTTTGCAATCCCCCTTTGCATAAGTAATCCAATATCTTCCTATACTTCTACCATTGATCCATATTTCACCTTTACCCATGCTTTTCATATCTACAGCCAATGGTTCAACCCCACCAGGTGCATCAAAGTTGGCCTGGAAAATTACAACGCGAATATATCAGCAGACGGGGGGGACTACTTTTCATTACAATTTAAAAAGTCATAAAATACTCTAAAAAAGGGAAGAAAAAAAATGCAACACAGGTTCTTACCTTATACCAAGTCAAGGGTTGGGTTTTCTGTGCAGCAAGTGAAGCATCTATCCATTCATTAGACGAAGCTCCATTTGGAGATGTTAATTGCATATTCTCTCCCTTCAATCCAACCTGTCATTCAAAATAACTAGTTTACTGAAGTTCTTAAGGTTCATCAACGAACAAATTAACGTGTCGATTTTGTATGGAACTCACTTGATATGACCATTTTTGCCATGTTAAATCCCTCTTGCCACTGCTAAGACCATTCAACACCACTGGACCAAGAACTCCAGTCTTCCATATTTCATAATGTGGCCCGACATTCTTAATGAACAAATCAGTAAAAGATTTTATTATCAGCATGTTTACAAGATCAGGTTCCAAAATTTGAAGCATTGAAATCACGGCCAGAAGTTTACCGGTAAACCAACTGCCACACTTAGCAAAGTAATTCTGTTCATTCCTGATTGAAGATTGACTGGTCCTTTGAATGTTAATCTCCTGTCCTCCCTAGTCCCAAAAGCTGACCCTGTTTATAAAAAATAGCTTCTTCAATTTTTGCTTCATAAACCAAAATTCTGTCTTTGTTTATCCCCGTACAACAGTTACGTGTGATTAAAGCGAAAAGATACCTGCAAACTTTCCATTAACAAAAACATGAAGAGCAGGCCCTGCTGATTCCACCATGAGACTGGGAGCTCCATGCAAATCTGACGGGCTGACGTGGACACTGGAGTAAAGCAACAATAAAATGTCAAGATCTTACAGAAGCAGCACCTTTCGATGAATTTGGAAGCCAACAGAAAGAAGGTGCCAGATAAGAAGCTTAGATGCCAAATCAGCTTTCAGACAAGCATAACAATTGGTAAATTGGTTGTGCATAAGTGCATTCCACACTGGGCCATCGATTCCATAGAAAGACGCATTACATACAGAAAGCAAGTGCACTTTTGATGAATTCTGATCATTCTTAGGCAATTTTTTTATAAATCGGACTACACAGGGACAAATCAATTGTTGCATCAACCATCTTTCACTTGTACAATTAGGAGCAGTAGGTAAGTCAATTATCTTTACAATCTAGGGTTTAAGAGAAATAGCCTCTTTGTAGTTGCAACTTGCAAGTGTAAGGTCAAATTCTTTTCATTTTCTATTTTTCCTGTCCGGGAACTAGGGGGAAAGGAAAACAAAGAACTAAAAGCAACTTTTGGGAGCTTACCTGGTCATGTACCAAAGATAGTCACTGCTATCTCTTGTGACATTGATCTGTTCTAGAAGTCCAGGAGCTGTCATCGTTGGGCTTTCCTCCAACGAAGAAAGATCTTCATCGTACATCTTCCACGAGAGCAACCGAGCATTGGCTGGTATCATTTGAGTATGTGAGGTTTGAACTCCAACCTAGATGACAAGATTGAAGCCTCATCAATATAGAGTTTCGGCACAATTAAATTATACGAATAGTAAACACACTCATGACTTACCTTAGCAGTGTTGAAGACTACGTGTTTGCAATCAGGGAGTATGCTAATAGACCAAGCAGGTAGATCATAGTGCTCATTATTGAATTTCACCCTTGCTGATGAAGTGAAATGGAAGTTGGATAGAAAAGCAGCACAAGTTCCTTGACCTTTGAAGACAAAAGCCTGCAAAAATGGTTGATCAGCCAAACAACACAAGGCGAAGAAAAAGTGAATTCACAGAAATAGAAACTGACCTGATGATAGGTTCCCAATGAAGTGATTTCAGGTTCTGAAGAGAGTAATGCTCGTTCTGAAAGCTTGAGGGCTCGATGTAGATCCTTCAGGTGCCCATATTTCGGTTGCCTAATTAAACCTGTGAACAATATTAATTTAATGGGAAAAGGCTTAGATAACCACTAATAATAAAACTCAATGATAGGTACCAAGCAACCTTTTGTAAACTAAAAAGGGCAAAAAGAGAGCTCCCAGATGAATGGTCAGAATATTGTCTTTTTGTGTTTCTTAGGCACCGTTTGGTGGAAGGGAAGGTCTATTTAATCTGATTTACTACCTCCGTTTGCAACAATATGACATAAAGTGTGAGTAGAAAATGTCTAATCGTTGCAAATAATTTGAAACGGAGGTAGTATGTTCTTTTCTTGTATAAGTACTAAAAGGGTTTTCAAAGAAAAAGCTGCTCCTCTGAAGAGCTGACTTGGAATTCAAACTCCTACGGGAAATAAAATTGTATAGTCATACAGATTGAACTCCAAGCTGTACAAAAAAGTTAAGCGTGTTTGGGCATGAAGATCTTTATAACTGGAAATGAAATCACGTAAGTATTTCAATTATAGATTGTTTGGCTTGAAGGGTATGGCAACAATTTTCCTTACTCGAGGGTAATTGATTCCACCCACCTTTTACACTCCTCAACTGAGTGGTAACTGGTAAAACAGATTGGTTACCCTCAATCACTCCTCTACCTTTTCTCATTTGATTTTATTCCATTCCAATGTAATACTAAACAATCTATGAAAGCCATTGTTATCAACCTTATAATTACCCTTTCTCTCTTCCATTGATTCCATTTTATTCTGTTCCCAACCATACCAAATGCACCCTTGGAACAAAATATAATGTTCTTTATAACCAGCTGAACATGACCTTTTTAGAGCAAAAAAAAAAATATGTTCTTACGCAAAAATGCAAATGCAACGCTTCAACAAGCTAAACATAAATGTAATGTATTATAAACTTATCTGCATTAATATATGATGAATGTAAGCTACTGTAAAATCTAATTAGACTGCTTGATCACAGAAAGCAAGCGAAATCTTCAAGTTTTCTATATAAGAATTGACAAGCAACAATCAAGAAAATAACATATTGTCAGATTATTTTACTTTTTTCCCCTATTATTGTATATACTACAGGTTGTGTTGTGAGCTATGGCACTCTATACCCATCAAACAAAGACATGCAAGCTCAAGTCTTACCATATTCATCGATTGGGGCATCATAGTCATAACTAGTCGTAATGAATGGTCCACCAGCTGTTCGTCCAAAGTTGGTTCCACCATGGTACT